ATTGTCCTTTAATTGGAAAAAACTCCCTTGCCCCTCGCGGGTGCGGAAAAAGGAGGTGTGACACCTACTACTTTGACTTTATACTTGTACTCAGTCATGTCATATCCTACTGTTTTCGTAACTCAGCCATGTTTACTCTGCTTTGACATCTTAAATGATATTTTGAGTTGAGCATCATATTTTACTGTGCCCGAGTGGCTTTTAGAGATTTCTGACTGAGTAGGATCGAGGGCCTGAGTTGTACGCCACAATGTGGCTTGTTATAAGGTCGAGAGCCTGTTTCATTATGCCACGAGATAGCTTGATATTGCGCTTGGGTCGTAAGGGGCCCCTCCTGGAGTCTGTACACCCCCAGTGAGTGCGGGTACCCAGTGTGATATGTGATGTAGCCCGAGGGGCTGATGTTGTTCCATGTTATTGCCCGAGGGGCTGATGTTGTTCCATGTTATTGCCCGAGGGGCTGATTCTGTTGATACTTTGCCCGAGGGGGTGGTTTTATATGTTTATCTTTTCTCACTGNGATATGTGATGTAGCCCGAGGGGCTGATGTTGTTCCATGTTATTGCCCGAGGGGCTGATTCTGTTGATACTTTGCCCGAGGGGGTGGTTTTATATGTTTATCTTTTCTCACTGTTTTTCATTCACTCGTTTAACTGTTAAAAGATGTTTTAAAGAAGCTTATACTGAACTAAGGTGTTTTATAATTTTTTCACTGTTTTGTTGCATTGTATTGGTTTTACACTGCCTTTTTTGTAGCATTTTGCTGTGTTTTACGTATTTTCTTATCTCTCAACTGTTTTTACTTTTATTACTCACTGAGTTGGAGTACTCACATTACTCCTTGCACTCTGTGTGCAGATTTAGGAGCCTCGGGTCCCGCTAGCGAGTGGTGATTGATTCCAGTAGGCGGTTCGGAGTTCACTAGGTAGTTGCCCGACGTTCGCAGCTCAGTGCTTCTCCCTCTTATTTTACTTTCCTTGTATTAGTTCTGTAATAGATTGTGTAGTCCTGTTTCACATTCTTAGACAGATGTTTAGATGCTCATGACTGGTGACACTCCGATGTCGGGCTGTGTTTGTTTCCGCATTTGGCCTATTTCACTTCTTTTTTTTGGGAATTCATCACTTATTAATGACTTAATTATGAATTATTATAACTGTTAATTGAATCGAGGGCTTGTGTCGGCTGGCCTTGTCTTCACGAGAGGCGTCATCACGACCAGGTCCGGTTTGGGGTCGTGACATCACATGTGGTATATATAAAAGTATGCAATAGCAAATATTGTTGTGCTCTTGTGCAAAATTACTTTAGATGCTTTATTATTGGAAGAAAGATGACTCTGGCAAGTACTGAATCATCACCAGTGCATCTTTGAAGCCTAACACTCAAATTTTATTAATAACTTCATATATTATGTGAATAAAATTCCATTTCAAGGATGCTGCTTCACGAGTATAAAATAGCGAAGTTAAGAAGCAGTGCATTTTATTTCTTTGTTGTTTTTACTCTCTTTTTTGACTACTTTGTCGTGGAAATATGATTTGATGCTAATATTGACGTTATTGAAGTTGAAACCAATACATCACTTGTTTCATCCGAATAGATATTCAGATTTCTTTTGAAATATACATTTTTTTTTTTGTATGCCAGAAAGGCAGAACCATTAGATCCCTGATGGAAGTACTGCCTCAGGCAGTAGGATATCTTGACAGCAACGCACCACGTAGGGGCGGATTTAGATACACTGTATATATAAGGTAAAATCTATTTTTTATCTCTATATATTAAGTTTTGAACACCCTTAACACAATCTAAAAGTGTAGTTTAGTGGTTAAGGGGGTTCAAAATGTACATAAAGATCATGGGTTCAATTCCTCTAGCTCTATAAAAAAAATTAAACCCCCTTCGTGGAGATCCTGCCTCCGCCACTGGCACCACGCCACCAATAGTAGTTTAGCAGTTACCCAACATGGGGTTTGCCCTAAAAATCAGAATGCAGATAAAACAAATAGACCTCTTACGTGTTTAGTTTGCTTCTGCCAGCTCCTATTGTTAGTGCCTGCTTGCTTCTTTCCTCTTAATTCTATAATTCATCCATAAATTGCCGCAGTTACGTCCATTTATTGAAGGATATAGGCAGCATAGACTTCAAGGATTAAAAAAAAAAAAACAAATGTTGACTCTTGATTAATTGCAACACTTCCTTTTCCTTTAATTAACTGTAGCAGCTTACTGTTGGGCTTGAGCTGGTGCTTAGCACCGGCATTCCCCTGCTCGTAAATTTAGGGGGCATTTGTATGTAAAAATTGCACGGACACCCTATTTGGTCGCCCCCATTTAATCTATACTTATTTTTTTAAAAGGTTTTAATTTTTACTCACTTTTTAAACAACTTCAGCCTCCTTCATCCTCCTCATTCTTCTCCTCAAAGTTATATCCGTCCAAGAACAAAAATGCATATATTTCAACTTTCAAGAAAGGAAGGAAAACAAAACGTTAAAGAATGGGAGAGTCATCCACTCAAATAGAGATCGACAATAGCTTTAACGAATAAAAACCAAATATGAAAAACTCTTTCAGTTGTCATTCTCAACATACATGATGCAGAAAATCTTCATCATTGTGATAAGGAATTAGTTTCCATATAGAACTGCCATAGAGTCGGTTAAAATGTGGCCATTGGGTTCTCTTACGGAAGAAAGTTTTTTAATTAAAGTAATGACGTTTGGAATTGTGAGGGAAATGAAATTCTCAGAGAAAGAAGAAAGAAAAACGCGACCTTCTACGACGGCAAAATTCTATATGGATTGATGAAAAAGATTTGGAGAAAAAGACACTTGAAGTTATTTGTGATGCTATTCAACTTTGAATTGTTTTCCTTCTCTAGAGCTGAAGTTCGCCAGTTACAAAAACAAAAACTTCGCTCTAAAGCTGAATTTCGCCAGTTACAAAAACAAAGACTTCAGCTCTAGAGCTGAAGTTCGCCAGTTACAATCTTCAGCTCTCATAGTAGTTGAAGTTTTGTTCTCTATTTGCTGAAGTTTGCCAGTTACAAAAACAAAAACTTCAGCAATTACAAACAAAAACTTCAGCAAATAGAGAACAAAACTTCAACTACTATGCTTAAGTTCAACAATTACAAACAAAAAATTCAGCACTCTTGGTTCAGCACACTTGCTACTTCAGTCTCGTCTACTAGAATGATGAAGTTTTGCGTGATTGTCTTTGCTACTTCAGCCCTGTATGTTGAAGTTACGCAAAAAAGTGGGTACGCTTGTAATTTTTTTTGCAAAGCGGCACAAGTTAACCCATTTGCATCTATACTCGCTTTTTGGGTCACGTTTTAAGTCAACATAAAATCACTGAAGTAGCAAATGCAATCACGCAAAACTTCAGCATTCTAGTAGACGGGCCTGAAGTAGCAAGTGTGTTGAACCAAGTGTGCTGAAGTTTTTGTTTGTAATTACTGAACTTAAGCATAGTAGTTGAAGTTTTGTTCTCTATTTGCTGAAGTTTTTGTTTGTAATTGCTGAACTTAAGCACAGTAGCTGAAGTTTTGTTCTCTATTTGCTAAAGTTTTTGTTTGTAATTGCACTAAATAAGCTGAAGTTTTTTTGTCCTAGATTCATTAGTTTTGTCGTTAAGCTTTTTCAAAACTTCAGCAGAAGATGTTGAAGTTATTTAGTTCACTTGTAAAAACTTCAGTACTAAAAGCTGAAAGTTTTTTGTCCTAGGTTCATTAGTTTTGTCATAAAGCTTTTTCAAAAACTTCAGCAAAAGATGCTGAAGTTATTTAGTTCATTTGTAAAAACTTCAACACTGTATAAGCTGAAGTTTTTGAAAAAGCTTTCTAACATATTAGATAAATAATCAGATTGCCAACAATATCTAAATCATAAATTTTGGAAACAATAAACGTGAAAAGAACATAATTATCATTGTCTACTAACTTACGTACGTGAAAATATTCACAAATTATTGTCTACTTAACTTACGTAATTATTTATAATTTATTTTTAAATAATCTGATAAACATATTTATGACAATCATCCCATGAACTGAAGTTTCATAGCAGCACCAACATCAGCAGAAGAAAGAAGAAGAAGAAGAAACGAATGAGGAGAAGGAGGAGGAGAAAGGGGGCTGAAGTTGTTTAAAAAGTGGGTACAAGTTGAAACTTTTTTAAAAAAATGGATATAGGTTAAACGGAGGCGACCAAATAGAGCGCCCCGTGCAATTTTTACTAAATTTAGATACAATAAATATGAACTAGTACTTTTTTAACCTCACTACAATAACCATGAAAGATCATGCAAATTTTTTTTATAAACTCAAACAGGAGGAATATGAATTACTTGAACAAAAAGAACAAATGATATTACACAACCAAAGAGTAGGATCTGTTTTGCTCCTTCAATTGCTTGAGATAATAAAGTAGGAGAAGGAAAAGAAAAAGGAAACTTTAATAGTTAAACTTTTTGTTACTAACATATTTGATAAGATAAGAATCATAAGTTGAGTTTTAATATAACTCCTACTATTGCATTTTAAAAACGTTACAGTCCAAAAGTCAAAGACAAATTCAACGTGTTAAAAACTTTACAATTTTCTGTAAAATAGCTGCCTCCCTTTTCCCACGCTCAGCAAAAAGTTGCAAATGCAGCTATAAATGGAATTTTGAGCTGATATTGCTTGTTTTTTCATACACAGACTGGAAAAATAGTACAGACCAAAACAACCAGAAACTTTTTCAGTGGCATATAATACAAACATTTGTCCCATTATTTTTTAGACTAAAAATGAACAACTTTGGCAGGAATACAGTACAAAGAGCAAGGTGCAGAACTATCTTTTTTGTTTCTGGGTTATTTTGTCCACAACATTCTTGAAACCCTGATATTAAAAAAAAACAAAGAGCTAAGAGGAAAGGAAAAAACCTTAATACTCAAAAATGGTGGATTTATCAGAAGATGCGTTAATGATGGAAGAAAGAGAGGAGTTCATGGTTTCACCCATTGATGATGAACAAGTAATACCCATTTTTAGAGTTGCCCATTTTCTGAAACCAACAATACGCTCTGCCCAAAAGCTCCCATTTCTCCCTTCAAGACCCAATGTTCAAGAACTGAGAAGTTGTTCACTAAAGGTCAAGTTTAAGGGTGGTGTTTCAGTTTCACAGTTGAAGGAATGGTCTACGTGGGTCCATAAGCTAAAGCCTTTATATCAAGAAATATGGAAGAAAGCTGGAATCTTTGAAGCTATTATAGCTTCCACATTCAAGATTTATTTGCACAATGATTTGATTATTGCTCTTGCTGAGAGATGGTGCGTTGAGACAAACACATTCATTTTACCATGGGGAGAAGTAACTGTTACTTTGGAGGATATGGCAGTTTTGGGTGGTTACTCTGTTTTGGGCCACTGTATCTTGAACCCTATAAAGACCAAAAAGTCTGTTGAAATGGAAAAAACTATTCGCGAGGCTTATAAAGTTATTAGAGCACGTAAAAAGAATGTTACTCACCCTGTCTGGATGGAACATTTTACAGGAAAAGGTGATCATTTGGAGCATGTTGCATTTTTGACCCTTTGGTTGTCAAGGTATGTGCTTCCTTCTAGAAGTTATTTTAAGGTGCAAGGAGCTCTATTCCCTGTTGCAATTCATCTTTCTCAAGGAATTCCAGTGGCACTTGCCCCTGCTGTTCTTGCTAGCATTTATAGGGATTTAAGGTTGCTTAAACAGTTTATTATATCTTCAGCTAGTTCTAGGTGTAACCAAGATGAGTCAGATCCTCTCTTTAGGGCTCCTCTTCAATTTGTTCAGTTATGGGCTTGGGAGATATTTTCCAATTTGCAGCCCAAGCCTAGTATCATCTGTTCCGGGGAGCCTAGATTGGCTAGATGGCATAATGTGAAAAAAATAAACTGCGTCGATCCTCGGAGTGCAATAGATTCTGCAACAGACTTGTTTCTGTGGCGTCCTTACGCTATTGATACTGTGAAGAATTGGGATATTAACAAGTTTTACAAGGAAAGGGAGGCATATGTGGTGGCTGGCCCAAAGGTGGGAAGAGAAATCCTGATTTTTGCTCGACTTATTCGAGCTTCTGAACTAGTTGGAATGGATTGTGTAGAGAATTATCTCCCACATAGAGTATCAATGCAATTTGGATTTGATCAAGATGTGCCCGGCTGTGCAAATCATACCAGTGATACCCCAAAAATTGCATGGTGCAATTATGACAGACGAATTATAGATGACAAGCTCTATATACCTTCCAGGCTCTTTGAGTCAGATGTTACCAGACGATATTTGAATTGGTGGAAGAACCAAAAATTTGCACCTGAAGATGCACTGAAACATGTAACCAAAGGGCAGCAGTCTAAAGCTCTTGAAAGGATGAATGCCTCTGTACATTGTGAATATTTGCAGAAGTGTAATGAGATTAAAACAGATGGCTGTACTCAGGATTACGAATTGATAGTCGTGGAATCATCAGATGATGACAACTTACCGATTTCAGAATCTTTATGCAGGAGGAAACTTTATCCAAGATTCGGGAAGAGGTGAAAATAAGATCAAACTAGCTATAGTGCTGATGCTTCTGATCTGATTTAGTTTTTTGCTTTGATCAAAAAGTAGAATACTCAATGATACTGACTGTGTTAAAAGCTCATTCATTCTTCAACTTAGAGGTCTTCTCTTGTAATCAGCTTATATACTGAAAAGTTTACCCTTGATTATGTTTCAGTTCCTTGTTTGTTTTCCAGCTCTATTATGCACCCTTGATGATCAAGCCATTGACAAAACATTTATTTTTTCTGTTTCTGACAGTTCCCAAAGAAAAGCGAAGATAGATAATTTCACCTATACTAAAAATTTTGTGTTCCTTGTGTTAAAGTAGTTGGCAGAAATGTTTGTTTGTCCCACATCGGTGGGAAATGAATAGTTGGGGGGATTTCCCCCTATAAAAGAAGGCTTAATGTTTAGGATTTAAACACACCTCTCAT